GAATAAAGAACTTGGCTAGACACAAAATAACATTAACACAAAGTTCCTCTTCTTTGATTTTCATAAAGAGTCCAAAAGTGATGTCATCTCTAGATAAAGAAACTGGAGATGATGGAAATTTATTGATTAACCATGTCTGCAATTCCTTCCAGAAGGTTTGTACAGATGCACAGAAGAAAAAAAAGGTGGTCTGTTGTTTCTATGTTATTTTTTACAAAATGTGCAGGTGTTGTCATCTATGTTGAATCTTTTCCTGAGTAAATCCTTAGATGGATAAATATCGTTCATAATTTTGAAGTGTGTTTCTTTCGCTTTTGGAACTATAGGAAAGGCTAAGTACATAGATCTTAGTTTAGAGATTGTGTTTTTGTCAAATTTAACTTGTCTGCAAAAGCTGACATGCGATTTGCAAAGACACGCCTCCCTGATAAACATATCCGATTCCAGATCAGCACTTCCGGAAAGCGTCATACCGGAAGTCCACAGTAGCTGCTGTTAGCATTTGTGGACAGAAGCGACGGACTTGTAGTTTGTCGAAATTTAGGTGTCTTGTTTTCACTTTTTTTCTCGACCAGTTTGCCTGGTGGTCGACTTAGTGATGGACAAGCTTCGTCGTGTTTTAAGCGGCCGAGAAGACAATGAAGAGCTGGGTCTCACAGCGCAGGTTAGTCAGTTCCTGTGTGACACCTGCTAATGCTAAAGTTCTGCTAATTTCACAACCTAAAGTTTTGGTGTAGTTTCGCTGCCTGTCTGAAGCTGTTTAATAAACAACACTTGAGAGACATATTTATTTATGTTCGTTATTATTAAAAGTGTCAATTAATTATCAGTTTCTAGTCTTAAACAGTTGAAACAAACTCGACCGCTGCTATTTTATGTCCTTTCTGGTAATAAGTTGTTTTGTTTACACTTTTTCACGCGTCCACGATCAGGAGGAGATGAGGTAAGGTGTGTTTGTTAGTCCACTGTACGCGCCATTAATGTTAAGTGTTTCCTGTTTCGGTGCTTTTTAAAAAATGTGTCTGCTTGTGTTTGGAGACAACACTGTGGTTGTTGGATGTGGGTCTCTGAAGCGTGAAGCTAGCCTGCGGGTCTTTCTGCGGATCATGCTGGTCTTGTGACATCCTCCCATTGTTCCCGCCAGGTCCTTGATGCCAGCTCCCTCAGCTATGGCACCAGGATAAAATGGTTTGTCATCTGCTTTGCTGGAGGCATCCTGTGTTCAATCCTGGTGAGTGTGTGTGTGCACTTTTCTGTCATGTTTTAAAWTTTTTTTTAATGAGCATTTGCGAGGTGGGGAATGCAGAGCCTCTTTTCTGACCCATAATGATACCAGTTCTTCATGATCTTATTTTACTTTCTTTAAAGCCAAACTTGTCGCCACACCTCACCGATTCCCTCACACTCTTCTTGCTGACACTTGATTAACTCGACTCGTAAATACAGATGGCTTGATGTAAAATAACTCCGAGAAGGCAGGAAGTGTCTCAGTCTGACACCTCGCTGTGATAATTCACACTGACCCTTGAACGCTGCTTTTGTTTGGAAAACCTGGCTGGTAAAACTCAAAGCTGAAGGATCTTTCCGCCAATCCGCAGTGCAATAAACAAACATTTTACCTTTGAAACTCTGAAAACAGATTAGTGCCCTCTAAGCTAATTTATATCCCAAAATCTTCACCCTTCTTGCATTCAGATGTTTTAAATCCTCGCACTTCAGATTTCAAATACCAAGCTCCAATTAGCACATGGTCCAACACATAGTCCGGTTGTATGCTCCATATTTAGCTCAATAAAAAAAAAAGATTTAAGTTGCAGCCATTTATGTGTTTCCTGAGATTGAATAACTGATGATCTTCAATAGGAGTTGACTCCAAAGATACACAACTGCTCACATTTCATGGCTTCTGGTGATAATGGAAACCAAATACTTGCTAAAAGTTGTGCCACCAGTTTTCTTTGCAAACACGTGACAATTTCCTGACAATTATCTTATCATCCAGACAAATCATTCTGGTTTTCTGCCACCAGGGGGCGCCAGACATGTTTCAGTAAAATTGTAGAACAAACCAAAACATCCTTTGACATTTTCCCTCATTTGGATTTTAAGAAATTGTGTAAAATCTTTATTTTTAATGCATGTTTTGATTAATTTTAAATTAATGATGTGTAAGAACAATATTCTGTGTAAGTAATGGATCTTCTGCTGTTTTTTAAGGGCACCGCTTTGCTGTTTCTTCCCAATGGGATCAAGCTTTTTGCTGTTTTCTACACACTAGGAAATGTTGCAGCTTTGGCCAGGTAAGGCTGGATTTTCATTCCAGTTAACCTCAAAGACGTTGTAATAACTCTTGATGAGGTTTGATATTGAATCAAAAGATCATTTTATATCAAAGTGTGGTCATTTTTTAAATTGTTTTATGAACTCTTAAAAGTTGAAAGGCTAGTTTAATGAAAATGAAGAAGCAGTTTATTTTTTGGCTGTTTTTCTTAATCACTAAAAAAATTTGCGTGTTTGTGTCGGCGTCTTTAATAACCTGTAGGTCGACTTTTCCTTACACACGCACACACACACACACACACGTACACACACTCACACACAGACAGACACAAATTTGACTCGGAGGCTTCTTCTGCTGTCAGCTCAGAGGCGTTTCCCAGATTTGCCTTTCTGGCTGACAAACAAAAAGACAAAAGTCGAGTTCAAAACTGTCTGTTGTGAAAAGGATATTTTATCTGTCAACATATTTTCTTATTTAAGGAGATTCCTATTAAATTTTCCTCAGTAATATATCATTCAGGGTTAGTTTATATCCAGTTAAAGAGCAGGATTTGTTCGGTTTGATGATTATTTCAAATAAAAAATGTGTCTTCTGTCGATATCAACAGATTTGTCCATTATATAGCGTTAATAATAAGTAGTTAATGTCAATTAATGATGCTTTTAAGCTACTTGGCAAGTAGTGAGCCACTGCTAAGAAGTTTTTGTTTGTCAGTCTGTCTTAAAGATTTAAATTTTGTGCAAAATAGAAGTTAATCACCTCAAAGCCCAAGGTAACAATGTCCTGTTGAGTCTGTGTTATTGTATTAATACAAGCGTGTTCCTTTTTTTGATGAGATGTACTTGATGATACATTTTTTTAGCTTTTATTTACGCTTAACATACTGAAAACATAAAATTATCACACACCAAGTCTTGTGGTAGTAAACAGAAATAACTTGAGATTTCGAATGACTTTAATGTAAAAATAAATAAATAAACAAATAAACAAATCACCAGTCCAATAGAAGTACTTTAATTGTGAGTAAATGAAACAGTTTGTGTTGCAGTCAGTGGAGCTGACAGATTTTGCCCCCCCCCAGTGATCAGAGCAGGAAGTGGGCGGACATCATTAGTGTCACTGAACAGTTGGAGTAAAAAAAAAGAATTTAAATAAATAAAACCGTCCTTTCCTCTAATCCAGCCGGCAGAGAGTGTACGTCAGCACGCACTATTCTCGCGTCTCGTTTAACAGATGACCCCCATCCTCCCCCGTCGCCCACACACACACACACACACAGCCGGCAGAGAGTGTACGTCAGCACGCACTATTCTCGCGTCTCGTTTAACAGATGACCCCCATCCTCCCCCGTCGCCCACACACACACACACACACACACACACACACACACACACACCACTGATTCACTCCGACACACTCGGCTGTGATGAGCTGCTCGCCACGTCTGTCGGGAAAGCCTCTGTCTCTTTAACTTGACTGACGTAACGCATGCATCACGTACCAGACTCTAACTGTGTCATTGTGCCGTTGAGCAGGAACCCCTCATTATACCAGGAGGAAGGACAAAATGATCCTGTTGATCAAACCGTTACTCAGTGTGTGTGTGTGTGCTTGTGTGCGTGTGTGCTTGTGTGCATGCGCGCTGTGTGTGATTAAGTATTCATGTTGTGGAGTTTGACTTGTCTGTATTACCAGAAATCAAAAGCACATAATAACCATGGAAATGACTTTTATTTTGGAAAATTTGTGTGATTTATTTTAAATATTAAAGACTACACATAAATCATTAACTAAGTTTAGTGTTTGTTTATTAATAAAGACAATAATCTTCTAAATATTATTTTCTAACGGGGTGAAGTAAAAGAAGAAAGTAAAACATGATAGTTACCGCCTGATTAAAAGCAACATGTAACTGTAACTTTAACTGTGTTGTTAATGAATTGAATTTTATTTATTTATTTTTAATAAAGCACCTGTTTCTTGATGGGACCATTAAAGCAGCTGAAGCGCATGTTTGAACCAACAAGATTGATAGCCACTATTGTTATGCTGGTAAATATCACATTTGTTGTTTCCTTTAGTCCAAACTTTTCCGTAATATTTTGCTATATTTCAAACCTTTWTTGCTGTAGTTCTTTAATTTTAAAAGGCACATCCAGTTAAAGACTGTAGTCRGGCAGAAATCTCTATTCTTAAAGTGTCTGTGACATCAAATATTTGTTATAAATATGAGCACATTATTGGAAAGATAACATTGATAAAATATTGCAAAAAATACTTTCACACCACTGAGATGAACAGTTGAGATATTTGCATGTGAAGTAACAGGAAGTGATGTCAAAGGGGAATGTCTGCATGTAAAAWGAGCGTTGCTACAACGGCTAATAACATAAACTGTAGAGAAAAATCTGATGTTTCTTTAGATTAAATTTTTAATCACCATCAGAGAGAGAGATAGAGAGTCAGAGTTCAAGTAATATTGTTTCAATAATAAGTCCCCTTCGATGTCACTTCCTGTTTCACTTTGACCGAGCCAAAAAACAAAAAAAAAATCTAGATATGTGACAAAATGGGTAAAATCATGTGTTCTGCCAAGTTTCTTATATATAAAGATGTTTTTAACTTTTTGTATTTGTCAGGCACTAAATGTTTTTGTGTTTTCTCTCTCTGCCAGCTCTGCCTCGCCTTAACACTTTGTGCAGCATTTTGGGTAAGTATACAGTAAATTCAGAGCTATATAAAAGTTTAAATTTGTCTTGCAGTACTTTTTGACTGATGCTTTTTTTTTCTTACAGTGGAAAAAAAATGGATTGGCCATCATCTTCTGTATTCTGCAGCTTTTGGCGATGACTTGGTAAGTCTGCCTTCCAGTCCTGTCCTTTCCTCATCTGGAGCCCAGTTTAATAACAGAACTTTGTTCCAGATTCTTTGTGTTTTCAGGGAGACTTTTGAACATAGAATGATGATCGACAGCAGAAACATTACTAGTATTTATTAAATAAATATTAGTAATGTTAAATAACAATAACAGAACAYGAAAAAAGTCTGAAATTGAATCTTATGTATATATCTCACTAAAGGCCCTGTTCACACTATAAAGGGCTCGACACACGGGAGGYGACGTCGCTCGCTCTCCATTCATTTCCTATGGAAGTTGTGCGGTGAGGCGACAATCACTTGCCCTCCTCCAGCTAGGTGACTGGCGAAAATAGTGCATGTGAAATTTCACACTCGTACACGTACACGTGCACACGCGAGCATGCGATGCGACATATGAAAGTTGAAAAATGTTCAACTTTTGTCGTTGTCGCTTAGCGTACAACCAATCAGCGAGGGTTTCATTGACTGACCAATGAGAGGAGAGTATGCTACACACTGCCGTTAGCTAACACTTTCACCAAGTGATTACTAAAAAGCTTTGTGGGAATTTATTGGCACCAGGGTGAAGTTTATGGTAAGTTTTTCCTCATAAAACTGTACCTTGATATGCGTTTGTTTTTCTATATCATTAGCATCGCAAGATTTGTTTAGTTTACACGTCCGTAATGCACACCCGCCTTCAGAGTTAAGAACCAATCAAATTTTGTGAAGACAAGCGACCTGAGAGCGCGATTCRCRACGCTGCGATCGCTATCGCGTCCCGTGTGTCGGGTTTCACCCTGGCTGCGATGACAGCCGTTAATCGCTGTAGTTTGTCGCTCCCCGTGTGTCGAGCCCTTAACATTTTAGACAACTTTTGATTTTTTTTTGCGTCTCAGTTACTAATAAAAGTTATTAATAAAAGCTCAAATCATCTCGGTCCTTTCTAACTTTAAATAAAACACCTGARATGTTATTCTTTTAATTTTGACCAAATGTTGCTCTCATTAGGTCAGTCAGTTTAGTCTCTGTAACCCTGACCCCAGTGTGAGGTTAAAAGCTCCATTAAAGGAAATAAAATGTGCCTTTGAGCAATGCGTGGCACGTCAGGACTCGTAACATATTTACAGACGATCAACAAAAGAATTTGACTGCGTGACCACTAACTCAGAGGAAGGAATGTCCACGAGGACAGTTGTCCGATGGCCCACAGGACAGGACCGCCTCAGCCTGTAACCCACGCACACGTCTTCACGAGTCACACATTTCAAGCTCAGAACGCCCACGCCGGTGCTCGGACGTCCGTGGGAGGGTGTTCCTGTCGTATGATGTCGTCGGTTGTCCTCACAGAACTGGACTAAATCCAGTCTGCAGGTCCTGCAGTTACTGGATGACCTCACGGGGAAGTTTGACGACATCTAGTAGAGTTTTTGTTTTAATGTTTGGGATGATTGTTAAATATTTACTTAAGACACATGATTTCTTCCCGTCATGCTGTGCTTTGAGCTAATTATTCAGCTGCAGTGTTAGATTCCTCACGTGTTCAGGATGCTTTGTATCGGTTAACAATGTTGTTGTTTCACCAAGTCAAYACTGAAAAGTTCAGTTTGTTTTCAACTATTTTTGGTTTTTATTTCAAATAAATCAGACAAAAAAATCAAGAAGGAAATAAAATTCACTTTTTTTTCTGATATCAAAAGGTATACAAGCTAAATTTATGACAAAATTTCTAACTTTACGATGAGTAGCTTTAATACTGTAAGTCCAATAAAAACATTTTCTGATACGTTTCATCCTTTTTAATTTTATCTTTACAAACCCAAAGCGYGCAGCTAGGAAGTATTTTTGTAAACAAACTGCAGATTGAGTTGAAAGAAAAAAGCTTTCCACTCAACATGACTGGAAACATGAAAACAAAGATTATAAAATGTAAAATTTGAAACGCTTCTAGACTAATCCCTCAGTAGCTCCGCTTGTTACTCTATTTATAGATGGCAGAAAATTAGACAGAATGTAAATTCATGATTAATTTATCCTCTTAAGCTGGATTTAACCAAATCAGTAATTGTCTTTTTGTTGCTTTCTGTATTTTCAGGTATAGCATCTCCTACATTCCATTTGCCAGGTAAGCTGGAACACTATCAATATTTTATCTTTGATGTTTCCCTGTTTAGATTTGTCATATTTTATTATATTCATGTCTGTTTTTAAAGTACCTGCGACATGAATATCCTTCAAATACAAAAAGTCAAAGAAAACATCTTTATAATACACATGATTTTACACATTTTGTCACATAACTGGACTATTTCCTTTTGGATTTGTCTCAGCCAAAGTAAAACAGGAAGTGACATCAAAGGGGAACTCATTAATAAAATAAAATCTTTGGACTTTGTTTATTAAAACAGTATCATTTAAACTTTAACTCTTCATCTCTCTTTGACTGAGACTCAAAATAATATAAACAAACAGATTCATCTCTACAGTCTGTGTTGTTATTTATTGTAGCAACGCTCTGTTTACATRCAGACATCCCCCTTTGACATCACTTCCTGTTCCTTCACAGGCAAATATCTCAACAAYGTTCATCTCCGCTGCGTGAAATTTGATTTGCAACATGTTATTAATGTTATCTTTCCAAAAACGCATTCATATTTATCTAAAAAAAATTGACGTCACAGGTACTTTAAAGCTGTTACTTTCAGTCATTTTTAAAAAGCCAGGGATGAAAAAAAACAAATCAGTTTTCTGCTTCATCTTAACGTCCAGCAGCAGACAGGCCGGTGTGAAAACGCTTCACAAGCCATCAATGAAAACATGTTTTTATTTACGTCTGCACAATGTTTGCTTCCACCATATGGCTCTAATCCAGCCGCAGTGTGAGCTCTGAGTCTATCAGCAGCTGTTTTCTCTTTATTTCTAAGTATTATCTCTGTTTAGTCCTTAATATCAAAATGAAACGATTTATTGTGGAATAAAAACAGATTTATCAAACAGTTCTGCAGTAATGAGCTCATGGTAAGCCCTAAAGCATTAGGACTCGATTGGTTTTTGATTAGATATTGCCGAGCTCAGCTTTTTTTTTTTTTTTTTTTAAATTTCGTGCCACCTGAGTGCTTTTGTGGAGCTAACAAGGAGGCGTGATGTTATTTTGTCAGTCCAGCTGTAAGTGGGATTAGCTCTCGTTCGGCGAGAGGTCCAGATGCACCTCGACACGCGGCGCCTCCCGTTAAGTGTCTCGCGTGTTTTGGGTTGACCCCATAATCCGTCCTGACAGCTGAGAGACATCGTGTAACCGCCCAGAGGTCCCCCTCCCCGCCAGCGCAAACCGCTAACAACAAAACAAAGCAAAGACAAAGACCTGCTTTTACACCGCGCTCGTAWTAAACAAATTCCTCTGAAGAAACTGTTTAAATATTAAACTCTACACTTTAAACTCACAACCCTACACTCCCATGTTATTATTTACACAATATTTTTTACGTCTTGTTTTATTTCTTATCCGTAAGCCTCTTATTTTAATCCATTTTTAATTTAGTTTGGATTTGATCACTTGTTTCACAGCTGCAGCGTTTATTCATCATCTTATGAGTGACACATTAAAAAAGCCCCAAACTGAAGTCCTCCACGTCCCCATCTGCAGTCAGACTAACCCAAACCTGACGGACCAAGACGCCACATGGCCCATTGGACTTGATCCTTTAATGTATTTTACCTTGTTGCCTCTAATAACCTCCAGCTTCTGCTGTTCRGCTGTGAAACCTGCTGCACTTCACCAGGTTCAGACTCCTCATCTGTTCATGAAGGTTTTAGGCCAGAAAAAAATAGCATCAAGCTACGATTACTAAAAAAATAAACAAAAAAAAGAAGGAGAGGGGCAGTGTTTTATAAAGTATCACAATGTGATACTTGGGTTAAAGTACAAGTATCTTACCAAAAAATTACTTTGTTAAAAGTTAAAGTCTTCTTTAAGAATATTACTTGAGTAAAAGTCTTAAAGTACCTGATTTTTTTGTACTTAAGTATTAAAAGTAAAAGTATTGATTTAAAATGAGCAGTTAGATTTTCTGTAAGGACATTTATTAGGAGGTGACCTCCTCAAAAAAAATGCTGAAACGACTATATTGTATTAAAAAAATTAATTGATGTTAAATTTAAGATGCACTAGTCCAGCTGTTTCAGTTTATTTACATATATCAAGGCTGCACAAAACTTTTCCTCAAAATGAAAATCAATCTGAGGGCTGCGGCCAAATATAATAATATAATTCTTGAAATACAAATACTTCTTAAGTACAGTCCTTTTATTTTAATGATTATACCCTGCTGGAGTTTGACATGATTTGTTTGTGTACAAACTAATAC